ATTATAAACACTTCTCTCAATTCATTAAACAATTAGCTTCTCTAGATTTAAAGTGTTTGGGTTCTAATCTGCTAATGATTTTGTTCTACTTACTTTTGATTGATTAATGTCATCGGTAGTGGTGTCAATATTTGACACGACCCGAAACCAAATTTGAAAAATTTCGGGCTTGGTCAACCTGTTTAACAAATTGGCCAGGTTCGGGTTGACTCGAAAACCCGAAATCAACCCAGAAATGACTTGGGTCGCATATGCACGCGAGCAGACCCCATCGTGCATGATTTGCGCTCCGGCTCACATGAGACTGTGCCTCTCGCTCTACGGTTCGCACCCGCATGCGCACTCGCGCCCGCGCCTATGCGTCGGCTTGCCCCGCGCCCCAGTTTTTGCGCTCGCCAATCTCGTTGACCCGTGGTTTGTCTAGCTCGCTCGCAGGCATGCGACCATGCCCACGCAATTCGTCTCTCCCACTCACGTACATGAGCCACGCGGGTCAAGTTGGGTTAACCCAATAATCCGAGCATGTCAAGTTCGAGTCTAATTTTCGGAATCCATTTATCAAATCGGGCAAGGTTTAGGTCAATTGAATTAGACCCAGATTAATATCAAATTTGACCCGAACCCGACCCGATTACCCATTTTAACACCCCTAGCCATCAATTGATCAAAATTGTATGAAAAAATTTAGTTGTTGATGGATCATTCGATTTTAACCCATCAAAAATAAAGAAATAATTCATTTAAGTATTTAGAAATTATTTTGAAGAAAAATACTTATTATTTGACCAAGAAAAATCATTTCAAAACATGCTAGTCAGCTAATAAAATTAATAGGCAAAATAGTCAATCAAATCAATGTAATTTGTGGGTAGCATAGATGAAATGTTAAAGCAGGGGAGAAACTAAAAACAACAAAATAGATATGAGACCAAAACAAAATCTCTCATGGTAGCCATAAATTTCAGCTCAAATTTAATGCTTGATTGAGAAAGAGAGAGAGAGAGAGAGAGAGAGAGAGAGAGAGAGAGTTTTCATCTATGATATTTTTCTCTTTCTATCTCTTCTTATAAGCGTCACATGCAGTATTTTTCTTCAGAGTTATAGAGAGAGCTTCGCAGCTGGAATCTGGCATCTATAGCGTCAAAACTAAAGACTTACATAATTCAAGAGCATTAAAAGATGATTGGAATGCAATGATAGCTCCTCTACAGATCTGAGTTTCTCTTCTTGGAATATAATTTGAAACATAAAGAAGGAATACAATGTGGAATACTATGGTTCAGTCCTTAGGCTCAGTTTATTTAGTCCTTTGTTCCTACTGTTTGGTTTACTCTATCCTCCTTTTAATTGTATGGCATAGTTCTTAATTATTAGGGTTGCATGTACATTGATTGTTCATAGATATTATTGGCATTCTTAGATTCTGCTTAATTGCTGAATGTTTTAATTATGTTTGCTTTCTAATACCTTAGCATATCACAATTTTAGGTTTCATTTGGGACAATATTTTTACTGCTTAATTTTTTATATCGCAATCATGATTTCTATTTAGCTACTGCTTGTCACCGTCTTCACGAAATTTTAATTCTTTGAAGCTATTTTTTTACAACAACTTTAAAAAAAATTACTTTTCTCACAACAATCTTATAACCATATTTACAAAGAGTCTTAATTATATATATTCTTTATTATTGTCATTGATAGTATCATATTAAGGCTTCGTTCGGGACAACTTTCTTTCTGCTTCTTAAATTAGCTTTTTAGTACAAAAATTACTATGGTACAAAACAATTTTTGTACTAGAAAGCTGGTTTAAGAAGCAGAAAGAAAGCCGTCCCAAATGAAGCCTTAATCACAAATAGTTTAACAATGTCAAAACTGCAAAGTATCTTATGACCTAAATTTTTAATCTAAAGTGAAAGTCAAATAATGACATGTGGCTTGCCTTGTTACCAAAAGTCAACATTCTAAGCTAGTCAACATATGAGTCAATTTATGTGGTCAACCCATTATTGTCAAATTTATCATATAATTTTTTTATGAAATTGATCTAATTGAGGCTAAGGAGTTGCATTTGATTCTTTCTAAAGAAGTCATATAGACATTGGGGGCATACATGTTGATCTATCTATTTTCTTGAGGCTATTCTCAAGAGCATGGACCACCACTCTTGGTTCATGAGCCATATAGACAAAGAGGAAGAAAGTGAATGCCAAAGACTTATGAAGCATGCTTGAATCATTCATAAATGTAAATGATGAAGAGACAAAGATAATTAATTAATTATTGGTTCATGGGGACCAGTTTCTTCTCTCTCCTTTAAATTATTATGCATGTGTCTTTTGAAATTTAGTTGTGATACTTGAAAGCTTATAAATACCCTTATAATCTATTGAAAGAAAGATATAAGAGATTGATGTTTGAAAACTTTGCCAATAATAGGGAGAGTGCGATATTGATTTAGGGAAGATATTTATATAATAAAGAAGTTATGAAATATGAAGGATGGATTTGATGATAAAAGTTGTATGAGTCTTGAGCATTGGGGGTTTCTTAATGAGATCGTTTATAGTATATTTGGTAATTCTTCTCTGAGAAGCAGAGACAAAAGAGCAGGGAATGCGGTGTAAATCATAATGTCAATTCAAGAGTCTAAGTTGATCTAGGCTAAGTACATAGACCTTATTAATGATGTTGTGTTTCAACATTGTTGGAGACAATTAGCGATGAAATCTGTGGGTGTTCACATTTGTGTTGAAGATGAGCATTGACCTTATATGCAATATCGTACGTCGATATTACTAGCGATGGTGAGCGACGAAATTGATGGACATTGGCTTTTGTGTCAATTTCTTGCATTAGTCTTACAGGCAATGGCATGAGTTAACATTATTGGTAACGGTGGGTAACAAAGTTGGCAAACATTAATGTTTGTGTCAATAGTGTGCATTAGTCTTATAGATGATGATATATAGAGATATTTTCAGTAACGGAGGTGTGGAGGTTGTAATCAAGTAAAGATAGTCAAGAGAACATATAGGTAGGCGATGATGGATGATAATGGTCAGGCAAAATACGACAGTTAAGAGATGACGGACATGCGATAACATTTGCTAGCGTTTATCGTTTGTGTCAAATATTTAGTAGATATCTAGAGTTTTTCAAATCTTCAAGCTCTCTCCAATTGCAAGTTAAGATCCAAATCCCTCTTCCTTTCGAGAATATAAATCTATTTTTAATTTTCTAGATATGTACTTTAGAAATTTAGTTAAAATCCTCAAAACAACTTAAACTGGTTCTATTGATCATTGATCATTCTTTCAACATTTAAGCCCCTCAGGATGACAAAACTAACTAAATTTAGGCTTGTTGGATTCTTCTCATCAAGTCATTCATTTTTACTATAAACACCCACATTTTGGAGATCATTTGACCTTTCACTTAATGTCATTAAGTTTCAAATACACTTCAAATCCTTTATTTGGGATCATTCCGGTCCGGATCCAAACACTTTGCTAATGTTCAACTTGTCATTGAAACATTCATTTCAACTATAAATTTATTGAATTTTTAATCCAAAATTACAATGAGATCGTACTTTATCAGATGAATTTTGTAATAATGTATCAAGAATATTAAATGTTGTATCAAGGAAAAAAGAGTTGGGATATCTTAATCAAAGCTTTTAAGCTAACCAATCATACTAGTAAATATCATGATGATCTTTCCAAAGTGTGTGCATGTAATATGTGAGAAATTTGCCCAAAATCTCTCTGGCCTATAAAGCAAAGGCTAAGGTACCAATATGAGTATGAGTACTGTAAGGCAAACCCTATTTTTTTTTTTTATTCTCCAAGATGTCTTCTTGGTGTATCTTTGATATCTGTGTGACTGACTTAGTTTGGCAATAAAGATGAATAATTTCTTTATTTTATGAAATTAATCTAGAATTGATAAAATACCAAAATTAATTTTAAAATTTTTAGAAATTAAAAAATATGAATATTTATTTTCCCTAATTTTCATGTATTTTTCTAATTTTTATTAAATTTAAAACTATAGATATGAAATATTTAAGTTATCAAAAAGGTTTCATAAATCCAACTAAACTATAACAAATCATGATTGATTCATACATAAAGCTAAGTGATCATGAATTATTTCAAATTGTCTAATTTCAAAATAGTTGTTTAGTAGTTAAATGGTATTGATAAAAAATAGAAAAATGTAAAAATAATTTTATAAATTAGAAAATTAGATATTTAATTTTCAAAATCCATATAGATATTTCAAATAATTTATTAATGAATATAATAAATTTATGTTCTATTAAATGACTTTTCATATATGTATTTTAAATAATTATTTATGATGATTATATTTTACTAGAATTTTAGAAGATATATATATATATTATATTATATGACCCGTTTGAATAATTATTTTCTTAAACTTTTTATTTGTTAATTAGTATGATTATCTTTTTTTTATATAAATTAATCAAAAAACTATTAATAATTTTTTTTAAATATCAAGATGTATTATCGAGTTAGGTTTGGATCATTCTAGTGGCTAGTAGGTCATATTTTGGGTTTGCATTTTTTGTTTATTAATCTGATTAGGTTCAAATTGATTGAATTCAGAGCTGATAAATTTCGAATCAAATTTGAACCCTACTTATTGAAATATTTTGACAAGAAATTATTCTGTGTGTAAGCCGAACTCACCTCTATGTCAGGAGGCGAATCAGGTGCAATCATGTCAGCGATATCGAGCAGCACCAAGTCGTGATACACAGCGAAGAACTGACGTAACACATTCTGATTGATTTTCGAACAACATTATAATTAATCTATATTGACACCCCTAGAATCCATATGTTGGCTTATCTCTCTCATATTATGAGTTTGTGTAATTTTATATGACATATGGCAATTAGCATTATTAGCTTATGAAACATATATTAAACTTTAGTTTGCGGCTACAGGAAGTGCTACAGAAGCCTGACTACCTGGCGCAAGGAAGGTCTAAATTTACCGAAATATTCTCCTTCCTCCCTCGAGCATCTCGCGCCTCCATCTGGCTCATTCCCTCCAAAGCCCTAAACCATTTTCCCTCGCTTTCATCGAATTCAAATCCAAAAAAAGAAACAAATTTTATTCAAATTGATGCCCTCACCCACCTTTCACTCTCTTTTTAGCATGAAATCCTTATTTCTTCCCCTTTTACCGCTTCAAATCCGTTACTTTCAGCTCTTCCACTCCCATCCCCTGAACCCCAAAATCATCGCATATCAGTGCCCTCAACTCCGCTTGAAACCCTCGCAGACCTCCTGCTCCAGATCATACGCCACCATGCCGTCGAAGGGACCCGTTTTGCCTGCGGCAGAGGGCCGGTCTCTCTGCGGTGAGATCCATGTTATCATCGGCCCGATGTTTGCTGGAAAGACGACGGCTTTGCTCCGCCGCATCCAACTTGCGGTCGACAGCGGAAGGTTAAGAGCTCTTCACCTTCTAAGTTGTGTTGACATCGTTTTGCATCTAATTGGATTATTGAACCCTAAATTCGTTGTTTTGGGTGTCCAGAACCAAGAAAGGAAGTTCTTTTGCAATCTTTATTCTTGTTTTAACGTTTATCATGGCGTATATTACTGATTAGCTACGCAGTTGTAATTTTTGATGAGGCTTTGTTAGGGTGATTATTCATACGCTACATAATTTTATTTTAGGAGAGTTTGAGTATTTTAATTAGCAGCTTAAGTTTCTTCACTGTGTTACTTGTGTTTTTTAGGACATTTATATTGTTAAGTTATTGATTTTCTTTCTTTGCTTGTTTTCTGTGATGAGCAGGAGAGTCGCAATCATAAAATCAGATAAGGATAACCGATATGGTTTAGACTCTGTAGTGTCACATGATGGTGCAAAAATGCCTTGTTTTGCTGTTCCAGAGCTTTCAGTTTTGCGAAGTAAAATGGGTGATGAAGACTATAATATGGTATAAAAATTAACCTGGTTACTAAAATTCTTGCACAGTGATGTTAATTGAATGTGTCTGTGATGTCTTTCTTACTCTAAGTTTTACCCCTTTTGATGGCCAATTGTTCATAGGTTCTAAATTTGTACATTAAATGTTGAATTTTGCTCTGTAATGTTTTTAGTTCATTATTTCATTTAAGCACCATAATGTTTTCATATTTTCTTAAACATGTGTGATTACAGATGGCGACTTTTGGTGTATTTAATGAATTCCACCATATTATTATGAATACAAAATGGTTATCAAGTAATGGAAAATTAAGAATAGATGGCAATTCAATATTTTCTTTTAATATTTAGAAAGCAAAAGAAAAAGCCTTTCCTTGAAGATAGTGACACCATACTAAAAGCAAGAAACCATGAACTTGATAGCTGTTTAGCTGGTTGATATTTGCTATATAGGTTTATGTTATTTGTTGATGTTAGTTGTTTAGTTTATCAATATCTTTATATAATAATTTGAAAAATGATATGCATGTTTTATTATGATGAGATATGCTTGTTAGCCAAGTTAGTTGAAATCTGGATTTTAATTTATTTAATCTTTTTTATAACATGATATTGTTTTAGTCAGATAACATTTAGGCCTCGTTTGGGATGGCTTAAATAATGTTGTTTTCATTTTGAAACGTGAAAAAAAACTTTCGGTCGCTATTTGGAAGCCTACTTTTCGTAAAACTGTGTTTTTACACCCTCATTACCTTACCATTTGCAAAGCTTTTTTTTCCTTCTCCCTTAGTAAAAGGCATTTTCGGAACAACCATTATCATCGAGAAAGGAGTTCTGCTACCAAGCGAGGCCTTAATGAAACGGATTGTATTGATTGATAATATGTTATTAGGGATATCTATCTTCATAACATTCAACTAAGTTTCTATGATCAATATGCCAATTCTACTTAAACATTTGCAAGTTGGAGAATTTATTGTTTACCTTTGGTATTTGAAAATTTGTTGGTGCTGCACTTGATAGTTGTGGGATATCTGCGGTTGATATGAAAACCCTCTAGGAGTATTATGTTTGACAGATCACTTACTTTACTATTACACATTCTTTTAAGTGAGGGTTATTCGGTGATTTCTTTTCAAATTGAGAGTTGACAATTTCCTATATTTGCACAACAATGTTACTTAAGCTTATTCTGTATGCGGATGTAAAAGAGCCAAGCTTAAGCAAGCTCAAGTGTTGTTCAGCTTGGCTCGTTTAGCAAATAAGCCAAAATGTTTTGTGTTTGACTTGTATAATCTATACATATCTATGCATGCATATATGTATTTGTTATGTATAAATAAACATAATTAAGCTAGTATCGAACCAAATACGATTGAACAAGAATTTGTTTGTGTTTGGCTTATTAAACATACATACTTAAAAAAATTAGTAGAATTTAAACTAAGGCCTCGTTTGAGAGGGCTTTTTTTTTCCTTTTCTAGTTTATAAACAATGAAATTATTTTCTTGTCGTTTTTTGGATGAGACGCTTCTATAGAAATGCTTTTTAGGGAATTTCATTTTGTTGTTGTTTTGAGAAGCATTTTGATATTTGCTTCTCCATTAGAAAACTCCATTCCCTTATCCAATGTTTCTAAAACTATTTTTTACAAAAAGTATCGGTTAACCAGGGGCGGATCTAGTTTCTTTTTTTAGGGTGGGCAAAAAAAATTTTATGGGGGATGGGCAAAGATGCCTAGGATTGATAAAATTAGTGCAAAAAATATTTTTTAGGGGGGACAAAATGCCCAAAATACTCAAAATATTTCAAAAAATCCTCTATAAATATTAAAAAAAAAAAATTTTTGAGGGTGGGCATTTGCCCGCCCTAAGACCAATGTGGATCCGCCCATGTGGCTAACCAAGCGAAGCCCAAGTTAAAATTGAATAATGAGCTTTTTTTATAGTCCTAATTGCATACTAAAACGTGTTAATATTTGATGCAGTCACTTACAATATCTGTTTGCAGCTTGATGTCATAGGGATTGATGAAGCTCAGTTCTTTGAAGACCTTTATGATTTCTGTCATATTGCTGCTGATCATGATGGAAAGACTGTTATTGTTGCTGGGTTGGATGGTGATTACTTGAGGTACTGAAGTTGCAGAAACTGAAATGTTTCTTCTAATCAATATGCCAATACTACTGAAACCATTTGCTAATTATGTTGGACCTTAAAATTTTCTCATGAAACTCAAATTTTCAGGAGGAAATTTGGTTCAGTGCTTGATATAATTCCACTTGCTGACTCTGTAACCAAGTTGAATTCAAGATGTGAATTATGTGGTCGACCTGCTTTCTTCACCTTGAGGAAGTCGGATCAAACTGAAACAGAACTCATTGGTGGTGCTGACGTTTATATGCCGGTATGCCGGCGGCATTATATCAGTGGACAAGCAGTAATTGAATCAACAAGATTCATCCTGGAAGCTAAGAAGATTGAACCTTATTCTGAAGCAGCTCCCCTATCAAATTTCTGAACTGAAGTACTTACATGTATGCATCATCTGTATCCTTAAATGGTTCACCCTTACTATAGAGAGATTATTACGTGCTGTCATCGGATCGTCTGGAGGCGAATTATGATGCTCCACATCACTTAATACACAGCAGTACATAGCACCGATACACAACGAAATGGTGATGTGGCACGTCCTGATTCGCCTTCGAACTATGTCTGGTGACCGTACGTAATAATTTCTCCTTACCATAAGCTTCTATGTTCTCATAGTTTTATTTGATATGTATATGTTATGCTTTCTTTTTGAACTGAGTAAGAATTGTTGCACTAGTTAATATTATCCTTATTATGATTCTTGCAATTTGGTGAGATGGATTTAATGCTATCTTTTTTATTTCAATTGCCTAAACCCTAAACCCTAAATCCTAAATTTAAATATTTTATATCATGATATTGATTTTTTTACAAAATATTTCTTTTAATTATATGAGTTGGCAATTGATATAATAAAAATAATATCTTGTGAATATTATAAATTTTCTTACATGAGTTATAATGCATTCAAAGCAAATTTTACCCTAAATAATTTAAGCAAATTAACCATTTAAATTTGTTTTAAATATTGGTGTTTGGGTTTAAGTAAAAATAAAGTAAAATTTTGAAGTATTAGGAATTCTTCATCTAGTTTAATTTTGATGTATTTCAAAATCGTTAAGTTTGATTGATTTTTAATTATATTATAAATTCTCTATCATTGGCGTTATTATCGGCTATCATCCAATCTTGTCCTTGTCGCCAAATTTACCCTTTATATTACCTTTTATGTTTTTTTTTGGATAACTTTCTTACTTTTTTTCTGAAGTTGTTTTTTAGTACAAAAATTTTTTAAATAAAAATTTTTGTATTAAAAATTTATTTTAGAAAGTAATAAAAAAACTGTTTCAAATGAATATTTAGTATCATAAAATCAAATTTTTTTCTTATGATTATGAGTTGAGTAGTTTAGCATTTCTCTTCAAAGAATCCTTTTAATATTTATGTTTCTTTGTGTGCCATCAGTCTCCAATGGTAGTCCTAACACTGAAGACTGAACTATAAGAAATTATTCACTTTAACCTTATGGCCTTATAATTACTATTTTTTTGTATTATTTTCTATAAAATTATCTAACATAAAAGTGAATTCACTAAATTTTAGAGATTTCAATGAAATTTTAACCCATTCTATGCTGAAAGTCAAAATTAGAACAATTGAGTAATGATTTGCTATCTCATGCTACTGTAGGAACTTATAAACATTATAAGTTTGTCTTTACTTAGGCTTCGTTTGGGATGATTTTTTCATAGTTTTTTAAAGCAGCTTTTTAGTAGTAAAATTTATTTGGGCATTTTATAAAAATGAGTTTGTTTGAAATTTAAATTAGCTTAAGTAGCAGGTTAACCAAAAAATTTAAAAATGAGCAATTACGGAACTTCGTTATTCGGTTTCTACTTTGACTGGAAATTGGATTTTACTTCTCTGGTTTCTATAAACTCTTAATTATATTTTTTTATGTTATTTTCTAATTTGAAAAGAAACCGGTGGAAGTTTTGATTTCTATTCAAATTGGATAATTAATTTCATATTTGCTCTTTTTATATTGTTTTAGTTAGTCTGCTTCTTAAGCTAATTTAAATTTAAAATAGACTCCTTTTTATAAAATGCATAATTTATTTTTCAAAAAAAATTCGTACTAGAAAATCATTTTAAAAAACAGTATGAATGTTGTCCCAAACAAAGCTTTTTTTGGCTTAGTTCAAAGGGTGTGCCATCTGCTAGAAGAAAAGAATCCAACAAATTAACTGAGGTTGTCTGACGGGCCGGCCCATCAATTCGTGCTAATGGGCTGAAAGCTTATAGTACAGGTCTGTTTATTAGTTTAAAATTGTATTAGGGTTGTAAATGAACTGAGTCTTCAGCAAGTTACTCGAGGCTCGACTCGATAAAAGCTCATTTGTGATTGTTTAATTAAGTAATCAAATAAGCTTAAACCCTTTCTTAAATACTCAATGTTTTCATAATCAAGCTTGAATAACTATGTGTTCAGCTCATTTAAGTTCAAGGACAAGATCATCCAAAGCTCATGAATAAGCTGATATGAAGCTCGTTAGGAGCTTGATTCTTGTTTGATGGGGACGTTAATAAATCTTATATTAATTATTTATGCTTATTAAAATTTAAAAATATAATAACAGTTTATTCTAGGACAAGTTTTCTCTCGTTTGTTTGTGAACAAGTTTGTTTGTAGTTTAAAAGCACTAGCTAGATGTGTTTGTATACAGGCTTGTTTGATAGTTTGAAAATCCTTACTAGATATGTTCTCAAATATGCTCTTTTGGCAGCTCAAAAACACTCATTATATATGTTCATGAACATGCTTGTTTAGTAGTTCAAAACAATTGTTAGAAATGTTCGCAAACATGTTTGTTACTAGGCTCGATAAAGCTTGTTCGTTAAGCTAATGAACATTTAGAAGTAGAGGTTGATAATGTTCATTTGTTTAAAGTTTGATAAGCACAAAATGAACCGAATGAGAACCAAACATGAATATCCATCAACTTAAACGAACCAAGCTTGAACACGAACAAGAAAGTTCGAATCAAGCTCCAACGAGCATGAACAAACTGATAATAAATAAATACAAACATAGACAAGCAAATATTCGGTTTGGCTCAGTCCATCTACAACCCTAAACTATATCACGATGCTGAAAAATAAAACCCATTTATAATTTGAGCCCATAACTTATTTACAAAAGGGCCTAAACACTTATCATTATCTAATTTTTTTGCTTTTGCTATATATCAAATATAAATATTATTATAATTAAATGTCGTGAACTTAAAAATATTTTAAAATGACTTTGAGCTTAACAAAATCACTTGATATTTGATATAATTTTTTATCATGAAATTTAATTTTAAATAAAAATGCATGTTTTCAAGCTAGCCAAGGGTCCAACATAAATTTAAGCTACCCAAAATTCATAAAACTTCAAAAAGCCTACTTACACTTTCAATTTTTATTTTAAAATTAAAATTGAATTATTTTTTTTTTCAATATTTTTTAAAAATAAAGATGAAAGTTGAAATAAATTTAAACTATCTAATATTCATAGAATATTAAAAAAGCCTACTTAAAAAGCCTTTGACAAGTAATGTAAGGATTCAATTGGGACAACTATAATTTTTAAAAAATTTGATTATAAAATTGTTGAAAAAAATAGCTTTTAAAAAGTTATTATAAAACTCAGCTTCTTAGTAAAAACTTTTCTAAAAATAAAGTATGAGGTGAGGTCATAAAAAAATTATGATTAATATCTAAAAATCAAAACAATAAGAAATAATCCCAAAGAAGCCTAAGTCACAATTTTCAATAGAAACATATAAAAATTACATTTATATAAATCACTTTAAGAAGTAGTAAGAAAGCCGTCCCAAACGAAGCCTTAGGCTTCATTTGTGATTGCTTTTTTGATGCTTTTTAAAATGATTTTTTTACCATAAAAGTTGAAATTTTTATACTCAAAAATTGATTAAAGAAGCGGTAAACAAAGCTTTGATTACTCATATAAAAGGAAGCAAAGGGCCAGTTGTAAGATTCCACTGATATTAAATTGCTGTAGAAAACCAAATAAAGTTCACATGCAGCGAAGCATCACAGGCAGTAGGTGTGTCAGTGCAAAGAAAACGCTGGCCGGCTTGGGCGAGCAATAAACTATGCTGAAAGCAACAAATAAACATGCGATATCCAACGCCTAGACAAACAGCTTTAGATGAAAAGGGGAAAGAGGGAAACAGAAAGATATTTCATTTTAAATCGCACAGCATCGAAGAAGCTTGGAGGAAGATGATACCGCCAATAGCATAGCAGATTATTGCCGGCATATTCCAACAAATATAAATTTAGACCGGCTGCAACTTTTTTTTTAAAATAAATTATAAATTTCTAGCGATGCAAGTAAATTTTTAAAAAATAATAAGCATCAACATCAAGCCTTTATTTCATTACGTGGGGTCCACTACATGAATTATTTCTCTTCATTGTGTCATGTTAAAAGTCAAATTCTCATTTAAATCTAATAAAGAAATATCATTTTTAATATTTTCTAACCAAGTTTTTTTATGTTTTAGATCTACCTTTCTTAACATAAGTCAAATCTAATATTTTTACTTTCATAATCGGGTCATCGGAAGGCTGCCATTTTATAGGACCAAATTATCTTAAGGCGACTCTCTCTAATCTTATCTTCCACTAGAGCTACTCCAACCTTTTTACATATATGCTCATTTTGTATTCTATCTCTAAGGGTAAAGCAACTCATCCATCTAATCATCCTAGTCTCTGCAACACTTAACTTAGTATTATGCTTCTCTTTTAATGACCAACATTCAGCAATACAAAACATTGCAAGTCTCTCCATCATCTTGTAGAACTTTCCCTTTAAGTTTGAGAGTGATTTTTTTTATGACATAACAAGCCTGATACATTACTTCACTTCAAAAAATCAATTTGAATTCTATTAATAATATCCCCATCTATTTCACCATCGCTCGGAACAATAGCTCCAAAATATCTAAAATGTGTATTTTTATTAATAACTTGATTGCCAAAAATCACAATCCTCTCATTAGGTCTATTACTACTAAAATTACCCTCCATATATTTTTTATGTTTCAGATCTACTCAAGCCATGGAAAGCGAGCAATTGAAAAAAAAAATTTTTTACTCCCACTGACATAAAGCAAACCTCAGGCAACCGCAATATACGCTTCATGGAAAAATATATTTTTTTTTTATCTGAATCAGTCTCTATTTCCCTCACCAAATTACGGGTTTTTTCTACAGTTGAAGATAGAAAAAGTATTACAGGTAGATTTGCCGATTTAAGGAACCGAAAAAAAAATAAAACAAGCTGTTAGTAGCTGATTTACAGTTCTGCCTTTTCAGGATGATATTTTTTTGACTTTATGAGATAAAAGGGCAGATATTTAAATCAGCTTTCAGCCAGTTCAACAAAGAGGAGATTGCCTCCCTTGTTATTCATTAACTAACTAGATAATATTTCAAAGCAGATTTCAGTGACGCGTCGCCGTCGTGGCTTTCTCAGCGAAACACAGGCCTGCGAGCCCGGCGGAGGCGGCAGCAGAAGGTGAGGGGTCCATCGTATTCTGGCGCGCACGGTCTCCGGCGTGGGAGTATGGGGGGTGGAGGCTGGCGGCCGGGGCATTGAGGCTGGAGAAGAAGGGGTCACGGAGGAGCTCGGAGGCAGAAGGGCGGGCGTGGGGCTTGCCCAGGCAGCGCTCGATGAAGGCGTGAAATTCCGGGTCGCGGACGCGGCTGAGGGCGGCGGGTGGGACGCCGCCGCTGACCTTGCGGTAAATCTTGGCGACGGAGTCGCACTCACTGTAAGGGATTTCGAGGGTAACCATCTCTAAGACGCACATACCGAAGGAGTAGATATCAACTTGTTCGGTGTAGTTCTCTTCGTAGAGTTCGGGAGCCATGAACTCCGGGGTTCCGAGAATTGAGTGCGCCGCATGGCTTTTGCCAACGATGGCCGCGAGTCCGAGATCACCAATCTTAAGCTGGAACCACAAAGAAAAAAATTAGTTTTTCAAGATTGTATGATTGTATCCATAATTATAATTTCAGATTCACAAAATTGAATTATATAGCTGGGATGGCCATAAGTTAATATAAAGCCATGACAGTAAAGATTTTAAAATGACCATATTAAGTTATATTTTATGCTATATATATACTAATGCTAATATAAGTCAATAATGAAAAATAAAATATAAATGAAATGTATTTTTTATAGACTTCCACCTATAAATTACTAGAAAGGAATTCAACCCATGAAATAAATAATAATTTTATAATTTGATTTCTTCTGTAGAAAGGATTTCTGCAAACATTACTAAATCAAGATTAAATATCTTTAATAATTGGTGAATACACGACAAGCGAAAATTGTAAATTAAAAAACCACCCTTTTAATTGATAGTCGACTTAAAAAAAAACGTAAAAAAGAAACTCTACTCAATGAAGGATTTGGGAAATCTCAAGCAACTCTCCCAAGTGCAAATTCGGGGCATCAAATCCAACTTAACATCCTAAAAATTTTAAGTTTAAATAATTAAAATTTTCTTCAGTGAAAAAAAAAAAAAAACAGTAGCAAACTCGGAGAGGAACAGGGCATGCAAAATCTATTTTTTATTTTCCATGAGTCACTAAATATCAAGAGAAAATTTCAATTTAAGGCTTGATTAAAAATTCAAATATGTAATGATATTTCTCCTTATAAAAAGGTGAAACTCTGCTCATGATAAAGATATGTACAGTTTAAGGTTTTAAACCCCAACGCCATTTATCCTTCAATTTTAATTCCTAAGGATTAATAACAGTAATTTCAATTAATGCCCGCGAGATAAGAAATATATCACGAGGGCAAAGGGATACAATAATTTAAAAATTGCATTTAAAATACCATAATTTACAAATGCTTCCAACAATACATTTCGAGAAACAAGGATCGGAGGCGTACCGTGCCAGAATTTCCGTTCATGAAGACATTGCTGCAATTAAGATCACGATGAATGATGCAGGGGTCATGTTTGTGAAGATAATCGAGGCCGGCAAGTATCTGGCGGCTCCACTTCTTTAAAGCGTTGAACGAAACATGGCGATGCTTCTTGCGATACTCGCGGAGGTTTCCAGAAGTACAGACCTCGGTGATAAAATTTAGTGTGCCAGCCTTGGTGTCTGTCCACACGCTGTAGAGAGCGATGATGTTCTCATGACGCAGAGAACGAAGAAGCCGCACCTCCGAGAACAGGCGGTCGAGCATCTGCGGATCCTCGTTGAAGCTGCGCAATCTCACCTGATTCCAAGCCACCTCAATCCCCTCCTCCTGATCAAACCCTCTGTAAACCTTCTTTGTCGCACCAGTACCGAGCAGATCCCCGTATCGTCCATATCTCCCCGTCGGATCCACCTCCTCGAATGGCTCTGCATCCTTGTCCGCCGGATCCGGCCTAACGCACGGCATCCTCGCTGGATCTACACCGCCTATCGCAATCAAATCCAAAACCCTATTTATTTCAAACACCAAGATCATATATCAATCTGATTCCATTTAGAATACAAAATTCTATTTCTCGATCTGTAATAATCAGGTCCAATCCCTACCTAAATCGTAGATATATCCCTTAAATGAAAAGAGTCGAAAATACCTTCTATCGATCAAATGAAGACGGAGGAAGCACAAATAACTAGAAAATAGGAAGTCCTTGATTCTCTCAGGTGCTGGTTCCTATCAGCCATCCTATTGCTTCAAGCAAAAATTTGATCAATAGAAATAGAGTTAGGTCTTCAATCCAAAGAGAAACACATAAGAAATTTAGAAAAAGGAAAAATAAAATAAAATTAAAACCATAGAATCTATAACCAGAAGATGCCGGGGCTATCCTCTGCTACGATTCCGAGGAAGATGAACAAGCACCGGCAGAATCTTCGTAATGAAGCTTGTGAAGAAGGCGATGGAGAGAGGAAAGCGTTATGCGGAGGCCATATTTATAGCTAAACAACTAACCTCGGTTGATTTACAACCTAACCCGAGTTAACTCTATGCCACCTTCGTTTCCCTTTGTTCTTTTTACTTTTTTTTTGATGTTGTGTGGGTCCCGTCGCCCGCATGCGATCTTCTTCTTTGCACCGTTCGATCTGCTATTGACGGTCAGTATTTCATATTCGTATACGGTATTCAAGTTGAGGAGAGTGGAAAGTAAATGCGATGCTGTTTCCATCTAATTCTCTATTTCTTGCGAGCGCAAGTAAAGGAAAACGTATTTAAGGGGCTCATATTAACCGTCCGATGGACCTATTCGTCTTGATTTAAACAATAGCCGTTCGATCTATCCCGGTCTTAAAGGAATCTAATTTAAGCGTGTGAAACGTTTGGCAGGGAATTCTGGCCCAATAAAATTTTCAATTTTGCAATCAGGACCGTTAAAAAATTAGCGATCCGTGTGGATCGTTGATGATTGGTATGGGGGCATTGGTGGGCCCATTTCGGGGCCGTTATTTGAATAATTTTAATAATATTTATAAGCATGAGGTGTCCACTTAATTCATGCATGATTTTTATTATATTTGATAATCAACTTAAGTTTGTTAAATTTTTAAAAATTAAATTAATCAAATACTTTAAAAAAATTATATAATCATATTTGTCATGATAATATTTTTATTTTTATTTTTATGTATACATAAAAATATGCAAATGTGTATATATGAGTAGCAATAACTTGTATTTTCATTAATTCATATATGACTTATAATTTAGAATACAAAAATCTGATAAAAGCTTTGGAATTCTATAAGTTGGAAGAATGCTCCTTTCATAAATTTTGGAAAAGTATTTTTGGCTTTTTTTTTTTTTGGTAGAAATCAGACACTCTATTGCATGAGTGTCAATTAAAGTTAGTGAGCAGGGTTCAAATCTAACCCAAAGTAGACTCGACCGAATATACTTGATATGAATCTAGCCCATTTATTCTATGGGTTAATATTTTCACTCAAGCCCACCATGATCGGAGCCCACCTAGCCAAACCTGACCTCTTTAACCCATTTAATATATGAATAATGCAATTTTTGTGGATCAACATAAAATTTTAAAGTCGAGCATGAATTGTTAAACCATAACCAGACCCATTTAACTCAAACCTAAATAATTGCGTCTGACCACTAACCCCAAATTATGATCATTTAACCATCATAGTCCAACTATGATCCTCCAACCATTATTATTAGTTATGATCTTCCAACTTATATCGCCCAACAATAGTCCTCCAACCATTATCGCTCGAGCTATGGTCTCTTGACCACCACCTCCAAACTGTGAGACCTTTGAACACCATCGCTTGATTTTGATCATTTAATCACCATTGCTTGAATGACTCCAAACTACCAATACCATATTATAATCTCTTAACTATCATCTTCTAGCTACACTCTTCTGACCAATATTGTCTGAAACCGAGGAACCAGAATGCTCAACAACCACAGTATGTGCAATAGCCTCAGCCAAAATACACATGACAGACACAGTACGCACACAAGACAAAGTAACTTTAGAATTAAAACCACCACCAACGTCACTAGCACAAAAGCGGGATTCTAGGACAACAGGTTCGAGCCTGACAACAGTAGGATCCGCCTGAGGAGACATAAACAAATCCCCCTGAGATGCAACCACCTCCTCAGGAGGAATCAAAACAGGTTCACAACCTAATACAGCCACAACATTGTAACAATACTATGATCACTTCAGTAGTGTAGAATGCACTTTATTTTTAGTGTCATGATTGAAATATTTAAATTGGCTGTGAGAATGAATTCTGTTATTTATTATGTGTTAAAAATTATAGAGCATAAGGGCTATATTTTTTAAGAATGAATTTTATTAGCGGTGATAAGGGATTCTGTTAATTATTATATATGAGAAATTGGGTCATTCTAATAATTACTATAAAGTATTTGCTTATATTTCAGCCAATCTTAGTACAATTTTAGTAGTTTCTTTAAATGTATTCAATATCAATATATGTTTTAGTTTTCGTTTTTCATACGATACTTAGTTTATTATTTTAACATAGCATTTTTCAATTCTTTTCATTTATAATTTATGTTTTAGGATTTTGTAGCATACTAAGCCATGTTAGCTCCCTCATGTCTTTGCTTCCATTTTCAGGTCAGGGAAAGGGCAAGGTGCAAGCTGAGCAATTATAATATCAAGTTATGATCTGTGTTGTAGGCAAGTTAGTTTCTTTTTGGCAAACTTAGCTTTATTTTGTTGTACTGCAGGTCATTATAGGGTCAGATCATGACAATTCAGCAATAGTCTCCTAACAATTATTGCCCAACTTAAGTCATCCAATCATTATCGCTTAGATATGATCTAACAACCCTCTTTTCCTAACTGTTATCCTTTGATCATTATCACTGTCATGCTTTCCTCCAACTACGTTTTTTTTACCACCATTTTCCAATTGTGATCATCAATCCATCGTTACTTGACTATGCTCCTCTGACCACTATCATATAAGTACAATCTTTCAAACATCGTTACTCGATTATATTTCTCCAGTCACTTCTACCTAAAAAATATTCATTTGACCACCATCACTCACTACAATCCTACAAATATAATTGCTCAACTATGGTCCTCTTATCACAATATCCTGAGCATGATTATCTCATTATTATCGCCCAAATATTAACTTTGGACCCCTTTTACCCAAGTGTAGTCCCCTGACCATCGTCGTCCAACTACGATCATTCAACCACTATTGTCGAACTATAATCTCCAAACTATCATCTCTTGATTGTTATCTCCCAACCACCGTCATACGACTGCAATTACTCAACTACTCCCGCTTAACTATGATCTCCCACTACTATTACTTGATTACAGCCTCTAGTCAACATCGCTTGACTACAATCCTATGACTACCATCGCCCAACTATAATCCTCCAATTATTGTTGTTCTATTATGGTATCCTTATCACCGTCACCCTCACAATAGTCTCCTAGCCTTTACCATCTACATACACCAATGCACATTGTTGTCAACAATGTCCATGCTTGCTAATACATACATAAGGTCGATGTATACCGCCTACACCAACACTGACTCACATTAACTTCGTTGTCTAATAACTTCATCGCCTACAGTCACCAATATTGATTTAGCCATCACCTATAATATCAATGCACATCATTGACATCAATTTTAGTTCCTAATGTCAACATCTAGATTTATATTGAATTGCCTAATATCTATTTTTATATTGAATTACTTGATATATGGTATCCTCTGCTCAAATGATATCTTGAAGATAGCTCCAGTGCTTCAAGGCTCTTACAACTTCCACTATGAAATTAATTCTATATAATTAGTATATTTATATTGTATCAGTGCTTTCCTTAATAACAACGAAGTGAATCATTTATAACCAATGACATACACACGTGAAATTATTTCAATTGAGTCAAACCTAGCTCGTGGTTTTCCCCTCTTCAGATTTACCACATAAAAACTCTAGTATTCATTATAACTCATCTTTTATTCGTCTGTGTCGAATTTTGATATAATACTAAGATATTTTCCCTTTACCGCATGATTATTCCAGCACGTAACAATACCCGGACGAGTCGCCTTGCTCTTTTGAAAGCATCAAACAGGTAGAACCTACATATACCTGCATGGAATCAGTCACAATTCACAAATGTGTTAAAATAAACCTAATTTTTCAATACCAACTGAATAATGTGAATATTCTGATAGGGATTTGGAAAAGAGCCAGCCAAGAAAAGCACAAAAGCTCACAATTTGCTGAACAGTCACAAGAAAAGGCAAAAAGATAGATGTCTCCATGCATCCCATGAAGTTGTTATGAGAATGAAAAACAAACCCATATTTTCCTAAAATAAATTGTATTAGAAAAAAATAATAAGCCCGTAATTATCAAAAGAATTAAACTAAATTAATATTTAAATTATTATTCACATATTTAGTTTTAAAAATTTTATTTTATATAATAAAATAAACACATTATATTTACTTTAAAATCAGTGTTACATATGAAGAATTTGTGTTGCACTCATCTTAAAGTAAATTAATAAATTTTTAAGTCCCTCATGGTATAATTTGTTTCAGAATATCCTGATTTAATTTTTATTTATTAGAATTGTCTTTCAAATTGATTTTACAAGCAAGTGTTCATGTGGTTTGTGGGCTATATGATTGTTTTATTAGATAATACATTACTAAGAATGTATTGTAAGTTTTAAATCAATAATTCAATATAAAGGGGCTTTAACTTATGCTAAATAAATGATTTATTTAATGAAATATTTGTTTTAATGTTTTCTCCACATATATTAGGTCCCTTCTCTTCCTTTAACTTCCCTCACTACCAAAAAAAGTGATTTCTACAGCGCTTACTTGCAGCGGTTGTAAAACCGCTGCAGAATATTGTTGCAGCGCATTGTAATCAAAGCGGATATGCAGCGGTTCTAAAACCGCTGCAAAGAAATTAGTAGCGGTTAAAACCGCCGGGGAAGGTCAAATTTTGTGCTGCCTTAGCACAATTTTCTGATAGTGCCTATTATTCATGTTAAATCTATTAGAGGATATACTTACCTTCAGCATTTCTGTAATTATTTACTTATTTGTAATTTTACTTTTCTTGCCATTTACTTGGCTTTATATTCTCAGCTCCTGTACACCAGGCATCACGATAATAATAATTCTTTCTTTCTACCGTATGCTCTCATCTTCCTCCTTGGCTCTTCTTGAAGCCATCTTCATTTCTTCTCATGGTATCAGTCGCCTCCATGGGAGATCCAGAATCTGCAGAGATTCATTCCACCTCCCTCTCTACCGATCCCGCCACCGCCATGGCCAGCCAAATTCCTTCGGCGCTGAAATTCCTCGTCTCCAACATCAAGAATCTCGCTCCTCATCCCCTCTCTACGGACAACTATCCGATTTGGCGTGTCCAACTTCTTCAACAATTCACCGCCAATGGTTTCGCCGGATACCTCACCGGCACGGTGCAACCACCCTCCGATCCTTCTTCGGCCGACTACGCTAACTGGCTTCTCGTCGATAGCAATTTGCTTTCAGCCCTCTTCTCCACGGTATCTCAACCAATCTTACCCTACATCATTACCTCGTCTACTGTTCATGAGGCGTGGGCAACTCTTGAAAGAAGACTCCAGCCGACTAGTCGATCACGCGTCATGCAACTCAAGAACGAGTTGTACCGTGTCCAGATGAAAGATCTTCCCATGCAGCAGTATCTTACTCGTATCAAATCCATTGTGGATAATATCGCTGCATCAGGCTCCAAAATCGATCCAGAAGACATTATGCTTCATATACTCAATGGACTCCCGCCGACGTTCAACTCATTTAAATCCACCGTGCGGAATTCTCTTCAACCCATCGACCTCGATACGTTTTACGCCATGCTTTGCAATGAAGAAATTCATCTTCAACATGAATTCATTCAAGATTCTCTCATCAACGCATCCGCCACGGCTCTCTACGCCTCCACATCCCGCAATCGCAACAATTCTAGCAAGCGGTTTGGCAAGAATAAGAGCCAGCCATTCAGCTCCTTGACACTGATCCCCGCTCCCCCATCTACCACCTCTCAGACCAATACGCGACCCACTTGTCAAATCTGCGGCAAGCCGGGCCACATCGCATTGAACTGCTGGCACAGGTGCAACTTGAAATATGCACCCACCGATACCCGAGCACCCCGAGCTCGTCTTGCCAATCCGACTTCACCGACCACTCAAGATTGGGTCCTCGACACCGGCGCCTCTGCTCATCTTACGCCGGATGCCTCGAACCTCTACTACCCGTCCCCTTACCAAGGATCTGACGCTGTCTCTACCGCTAATGGTTCGTCTGTGCCCATCCAACACACCGGTCAAGGTCTGCTTCCTCTCTCGGACACGTCTCGTAAGCTCCGTCTAAACAACCTCCTTCACGTCCCGTCTCTTACTCACAACCTTCTCTCTGTCTCAAAACTCACTAAAGACAATTCAATTTCTATTTCTTTTGATGCTAACAGATTTGTCATGAAGGATCTCTGGGACAATCATCCTCTACTTCTTGGACGCCTGCATAACGGCCTCTACCGTATCAGCTTCCCCTCGGACAGCAGTCACACGGCCCTGAACACGGCGACGACATCTCTCAACCCCTGGCACGCTCGTCTAGGTCATCCTAACCAAGAGTCTCTTGCGGTTCTTGCCAGGACCTTTCCCTATTTAGCTATTTCTAAACATTCTACTGTTTGTGATTCTTGTAATAAGGCTAAAAGCCACAAACTAGTTTTTGATAAAAGCAATTCTGTTACTACTAATGCTTTTGATTTAATTCACACTGATATTTGGGGTCCAACGTCGATTCCGTCCCTCAACGGATATCGATACTATATTCTTTTTATTGACGACTACACGCGGCACTCCTGGCTCTACTTTCTTTCGTCCAAACAAGAAGCCCTCAAATCCTTTCAGCATTACTGCCATATGGTTCGAAACCAATTTCATACCACACCCAAAATTCTATGCTCCGACGGTGCTGGTGAGTACACAAGCCATGCCTTCAAAACATTCTTATCTGATAATGACATTCATCATCAACTCTCTTGTCCTCACACACCTGAACAAAACGGCATCTCTGAACGCAAGCATCGTCACATTCTCGATCTTACTCGTGCGTTGCTTCTCGAAGACAGCCTTCCGCACAAGTTTTGGACGGAAGCCGTGGCTACTGCTCATTACCTAATCAATTTTCTTCCCTCTAAATCCATCTCCAATACCATTCCCTATCATCGTCTGCATGGTCATTTGCCCAACCTCAATCATCTTCGCACCTTCGGGTGTCTTTGTTATCCCTGGCTTCGTCCTTACGCTCACGACAAATTCACCCCTCGCTCCCAAACCTGTGTGTTCATTGGGTACTCTCCCCTTCACAAAGGGTACAAATGCTTTAACACCCTCACCGGAAAAACTCATATCTCCAGGCACGTGGTCTTTTACGAAAACAATTTTCCATTTAAACACCTCTCTCACTAGCCTACACCTACCGATCCTATTCAGTTAATATATCACCCCCCATCTCTTCTAATTCCATCCTCTGCTCAATCCCAGCATACTCCTACCCATTCCTCCATTTCCCAACCTCAACATCAAACCAACCAACTTCCGCCTAGTCCCACCATAACAGCTAACTCAAGCCACGATGTTATTCCCTCACCTCACCAAATTCCTGCTCCGCCCACTGCCTTGGACAAACATCCGCCTCATCCCATGCAAACCCGGTTGAAATCAGGTATTCGCAAACCCAAGCCAATCCTCAATCTACTCGCCCAGTCCACCTCTCCTACTACTCCCACTTCATATAATCAAGCCATGAAATCTGACCACTGGCTCCTTGCTATGCACGCCGAATTTGAAGCTCTAACCAATCAAGCCACCTGGTCCCTCGTTCCAGCTCCGCCGAATAAACCGGTCCTCGGCTGCAAATGGACCTTCAAAACTAAGCTCCTTCCAAACGGTCAGGTGGATCGCTACAAGGCCAGATTAGTCGCTCTTGGTTATGATCAGAAGTTCGGCATAAACTATACGGAAACCTTCAGTCCCGTTGCCAAAATGCCGACCATCCGTCTACTTCTCACACTTGCACTTCAACAAAAATGGCCCATGTATCAATTGGACGTCGCCAACGCCTTTCTCCACGGCGATCTCCCGGAGGACATATACATGTGGCAGCCTCCTGGATTCGTCAACAAGCAGCAACCGAATGCAGTTTGCAAACTTCACAAATCTTTATACGGATTAAAACAAGCCCCGAGACAATGGTTTCAAAAACTCACAAATTTTCTGAAATCTCAAGGATTCATCTTCAGCCGGGCCGATCAGTCACTCTTAATTTTGGATACTGCAGATACTCAAATTTTTATTCTCATATACGTTGACGATTTTTTAGTGACAGGGAACAATTCCGTGGCCATTCGCCGACTACTCCAACACCTGCAGTCCGAATTCGCACTTAAACAGCTCGGGGACATCTCACTCTTTCTCGGCATCCAGGTGATTCAATCCTCTAATAGTTACTTTCTTTCTCAATAACACTACGCAACCAAACTTCTTCGTGATTCAGGTTTTGACTCCTGCAAACCGGCTCCTACACCGGTCATTCCAGACTCCAACAAACACGACACAAACGTGACTCCCTTCTCCGACCCGTCTCTCTATCGTCGTCTGGCAGGCTCTTTGCAATATCTCTCGATCACACGTCCGGACATTGCCTTCGCCACCAACCGCATTTGCCAACACATGCAGCAACCTACGGAACGTGACTATACCGCCCTCAAGCGCTTACTCCGGTACATCAGCGGGACTCGCTCTTATGGATTGCCGATCACTCGTGGCTCTCTCACTCTCCACTCATACTCCGACGCCGATTGGGCCTCGGACTCTACGGATCGCAAATCCATCTCGGGATTCTGCACTTTCATGGGTCCTAACCTCATCTCTTGGACCGTTAAGAAGCAAGCTACCGTAGAGAAGTCCTCTACGGAAGCCGAATATCGCTCCTTGTCCGCTGCCACTTTGGACGTTCTTTGGCTACGTCGCCTAGCCGCCGAGCTTCATCTGCCTCAACCAGCTCCAACGGTCATTCACTGCGACAACACTTCAGCCATAGCCATCGCCAAGAACCCGGTCTTCCACTCTCGCACCAAGCACATCGAGATCGACTACCACTTTATTCGGCAACAAATCTCTTCCGGCGACATTCAACTCGTCCATATCTCCTCCAAAGATCAAATCGCGGACATCCTTACAAAACCATTTACCATATCACGGTTCAATGAATTGCGCAACAAATTATCCATTCGGCCTCCGAATGCTTAATTTGAGGGACGATATTAGAGGATATACTTACCTTCAGCATTTCTGTAATTATTTACTTATTTGTAATTTTACTTTTCTTGCCATTTACTTGGCTTTATATTCTCAGCTCCTGTACACCAGGCATCACGATAATAATAATTCTTTCTTTCTACCGTATGCTCTCATCTTCCTCCTTGGCTCTTCTTGAAGCCATCTTCATTTCTTCTCAAAATCATTTGATATTAGATTTGAACATTCCTCAATTTCAACAATTTTGTTAGCTTGCTTCCTTCTAAATCGTCTACTTAATATGCAAAATTTCACTAATCTCGTTGAAGTCTTCCCTAGTCTACCTTATGTAACAACATAAATGAATATTGCACGTAAGCCAAATGTTACTAAAGGAGGATCCATAACTACCACTACTGCTTCAATATTTTGTATCAATATTTGATATTGAATTCATGCTTCCTCTTCTAGCACATGCAAACAATGCCAAGGTTATAACTCTCTCTATTCATACTAAGAAATTAATGTTCATGTTGTTTATAGCTGCCCTAATTCTCGATCATCTCTGTAATAACTCGTATTTTGACTCTGTCAAATAATTATTAATTCTTCCAAATTAGATTCTAAGGCATCACAATCTCTATTAAGATATGTTTATGCTGACTTATGAATCGAATCACCTTCGAACTAATAAAATGTGTTGCATTATGCTAACTCGGCATCTACTATGAAGGTGGTCATATTTTTGATTTGTATTACAAAAAGAGATTGGTGAGTTGGTATTGCTGACTAAAAATTGATTGATAAACAAACATGAACACTCACATACTCGGCTCGGCTCGGTTCGTTTGCAGCCCTATTCGTAGATACCGTTGTATATAATTCCTTCAAATATTAATCATATTTTTATATAATTTAAAATTTTAAATATTATATAAATAATTATAAAATATTAAATATTAGACATGCAAATATATATAAAAACAAAAAAAAAGCTATGTGGTAAACGCACCGTCGGTGCCTGTCGATACGCTCCGGCCTCCCTCATAGTACCAAGGGTTAGGGTTTCGCTTCTCCAGAAGGGTGATCTCTCAGCGTTTCCTGTTACCTAGTGATCTTTTAGTCTCTAGGGATTCCTCGTTGAGATGGGCATCGCCGATATCCAGGCGGCAATCAACTCCATCCCTGCCAAGAAGGAGGATCTACGTAAGGCTTTCGAGGAACTAGAATCATATTCCTCCTCCTTCACCTCGTTCACTCTGCAGTGGAGGGATATCGATGACCATCTCTCCGTTATCGAGAAGTCCATCGACAAGAGGTTCCGGGAACTCAAGGCAAAGCCGGCGCCAGAGAAGCCCACTGCCCCTGTTTCGGCAGCGAATGCGAAGGTGGGTCAAGATAGGCCGGTGATTGAGCCTCGTACGGATCTCAAGTACCACTGTGTTAAGATGGACGCTATGGGCCTGAAATCGTGCATTATTGATCGGAAGGACAATGCGGCGGTGCGTAGAGAACTCGGCCCCGCCCTTCTGTGTTCGCCCGACCCAGTAAAGCTGGTACTGGATTCGTTCGAGGGCTTTGTATCGTCTAGCGGAAAGACGCAAAGCGAGAATCAGACGATCAGGAAGACTTATTTGGTTATCTTGGAGTGCTTTCATGGATTGAAGTTGGAAGTCAAGCATTCAGACAAGGAGAGGGCGAGGCGGGTGGCGAAAGACTGCTACGATTTAATTAAGATTCAGAAAAATGACCATAATCGTCAAATTATATTTAATAGTGAAAAAAAGGAGAAAAATCACCATGTGGTTGTGTTAATGGTTTTTTTGCGTCTGATTGTTACGTTTGGGTTGCTCGAGTATTTTGCGATTGGTGATATTTTGGATGTTCTAGTCACGGTGGCCAGTAAGAAGAATATTGTTGATCTATGCAGGCATTCTGCACTTGAAGAAAAGTTACCTGGTAAGAACTGAATGGCCTTGTTCTATTATCTAGCAACACAACTAAAAATTTTGTTGATGAACTCATTTGTTAATTTGGTGGAACCTTCAAATTTGCCTTCTTTTTCCTGTAGAAATTATTAGTTCCAGACTATGCATGTAATTCTTATTGTGGAAGGCACAATGCATAGTTGTGTACTACAATCTGCATACATAGTTCTATATGTGAGGAATTATTATGTGAGCAATGCAGACTTTTCAAAAAACAAAACAAAAAAAGAGCAATGCAGAATGTAAGGAAAGTATACAACTGTGTATTCCATTTGAGTGGAGCACACAAAACTACACAACTATCCAAGTCGGTGGAGTACATAGTAAGCACACAATTGTGTTTTCTTGCATTCCTCACATAGAGTTATGTATGTAGGTCACACTTGATTATTTATTTATTTTTGCAGTTTTTTTTATCATGTAGTATCCTTTGGTTTTATGTTGATACTTTAGCCTAGTCTTTATTTCTAGTCTTTTTTATTGTTAAACATTTGTGGTGACCTTAAAATCATAGGAACATTTTAGATCATGTGTCAATAGGTTGTGTGGTGAATTTTTCGCAACATATTGAAGTTCATATTTAGGAGTTTGCATATTATCTATATGCTCAGTTATAGTGGTGGAATCATGGGTTGGCTGCCACCCCTAGAGTTATAGCAAAATCTTAATATCATATATTATGTTAAAAATATTTTTACTCAAACTTAAATGCACAATTATAATTTAATATTAATCAAATTTGAGATGAGTTCATGTGTAGAGTTTAGTGGACGAGTTCAAGTGATGACTTCAAGTTTGAGAAGAGTTCATGCTTTCTAAAAACTTAAGTATAAGATAAATAAGGTCGAATTTATTTCATCATTTGATCTGGCATTTATTATTCTTGTTATTATAATCTTTTTACAATTTATCATTCCTAATTTTAATATGTTATCCTAGCATTTTCATTTTTACCAAACTCAAGTTAACTATGTATACTTATTTATTGCTCATCAATCATATTATATAGCATACATGTTCAATTATAACTTTATAAGTTTTATATTGTCTCCATGATAGTCATATCTCAGAGTACTCTTGTTGCATTTCTTCATTTAAACTTTTCAACATTAGTCCAGTTCTCCTTTTATTTAGTTAATGACTTATTGTTTTATTTATTTATTTATTCTGATGGACTATTTGATGTAGCAGAATTACAAGAGCTTTGCCATTTCTTAGAGAGGGCAACTTCATCCGCTAGGCACTTACCATTTGTGCTCAAAATAAGCATTTGGTTTTAACTAATGATTGGAATTAAGTGATCTTGTTTGGTATGTTTATGTTATAGGGCTGTCCATGTAATCGATTATTCACGTTTAACTGTCTTCTCTTTGTGTTCCTATTACTGTGCGAATAAAAGGCCTCTTGGCTGATTACTAGTTGATTTTCTCTTCTGTTTCTGTGGTTATCATTATGCTTGTTTTGATGTAAATAGGCAGCTCATGTTGTGATAGGAAACACTTGTAGATCTCACGTATTTCCTATCAATCTTTGAAAAACAGCGAGCTTTCTCTACCAAAATCCACACCAAACCACAAAAACAGTAGATAATTTGTATTATTTGATAAAAGGGAAATGGAAAATAACAAGATACAATTGATCCTCTATTCGAGAGGAGGATCGATCTCTCCCAAATCTCTAGACGCCGCTAGAGCCCAAAGGAAAACCTAAATCTAAGATATCTCAAATTTCAGCCCAAATTCAAGATGCCCTAACCCTAGGAAAACAAAGTTTTTAATGCATACAAATCAAAAGGATATCCCTAAACAGTCCCTACATTCATATTTCCCTCCCAAATCCCTAAAAAATCCTTCCTAAAATGCTCCGTTAGCTCCTTCGGTCCGTGCGACTAGAGCAGGAGACGGAGACGTTCCGCCTTGTTCGCGCCTGGGCCAGTCCCGCGTGGACCTGCTGGACCAGTGTAACATGTTGTTTGCATTCTTTATTACTTACCTACTAAAAACATTAGCAATTGTGGATTGTTTCTGCCCAGTGTGAACAATGACACCTTCAAATATTTTGCTTTGGCAGATTTGATTAACAAGTTGAACAAGAAGGGGAGGCAACTAGATTCTGTCAAATTTGTTCTCGCTTTCAATTTACAGCACAAGTTTCCACCTGCATCTCTTTTTGAGGCTTATATAAAGGAAGCCGGTAAGGGTTTTCAGAAAAGGGCACTGCAGGGAAAAAATTCTGCCCAGCTCAAGGTATCTCACAAACATTTTAGTTTTTTTTTTTTTTAATTGAGATTTTGCATTCAAAATCAGTTTTTTTTTTATTATCTGGGACAGTCTAAAGCCATCTCAGAACAGATTATTGCTGTTAGAGCAGTAATCAGAGCTGTGAAGGAATTCAATCTAGGAGATCTATACCCCCTCGGGAGTCTTCAGAATCGCGTTCAACAGCTTAAAAAGCAGAGGTTAGAGAAGGAAAAACAGTGGTTAGAAAATAAAGGAATGTCGGTCCTTCCCGACGACCAGAACCAAAATCAGAACCAGAATCAGAATCAGCATCAACAACCTAACAAGCGGCCTCGGCCATCGGATTCTTCTGCAACTGTTCTTCGTCCATTGCCCCCACATTCCCAAATTCAGCCTCAACCTGGGCCGGTAAATTCTGCACCAACTGTTCTTCGTCCGCACCCACATTCCCAAATTCAGCCTCAACCTGGGCCGGTAAATTCTGCACCAACTATTCTTCCTGGGCACCCGCACTCCGAAAATCGACCGCAGTTGGGTCTGGTTGATCCATCTGCTTATATGGGTTTGGTTAGCTCGTATGGCTCGGCTGCGGCTCCACCCTTTTATGGTCTTGGCAATCCCATTGGACTTGTCGGGTCTCTCGGGCCACTCCCATATGGTGGCTACCCCGGTTCAGGCTTTCCTCCTTATAATCGACCACCCTATCCTTGATGCTCTGGAGGCATATATTCTTCCCATCTTCAGTCTTAAGATAGAACTTGCTTTTAGTCGATGAGTTTGATTGATTTAAAGGTGATGAGATGGCTAGCTGATTAATCCATTTGTGATAAAGGGATCAATATGGATCGTACGATGAAGTACTTTGGATTATATTAGAATGTATATATAATTGGAGATTTGAAGTATTGAGAGATGGGAAAAGTTCTGTTGCATTTTTCGACTATCACAATTGATGATCTCTACTAGCAATCGTCGTCACCATTTCTGTACTCCTATTAAGATCTATCTTTTGTTGTTGGGTTTGTAATTGTCCGCTTATGAATATCCAAAGTTCGTCTACCTATAATGAAAATCAATCAATTATTATCAGTATGATGGCTTCTTTAGTTGTGAGAAAGTGATATTTTTTGTATTTCTTATTCTATAATGAATTATTATAATTAGGTAGATTATAATTTTCCCCCTATATAAGTTTTTAATGTAAAATTTTTCTAGTCATCCATAATTTTTTTTTGTGTATCATGGATGTTTGCCATAAGTAAAAGATTTTAAACACCAACTTTTACCTTCATAAATGTTTTTAGCACGCAATTAATGAGAAGTTATAACTACCAACTAATCTTATGAGTTTAGAAACTTTACCATCATTTATTTAAAAAAAAAAACAGTAATTTTTTTAATAATAATTTAATTTTTTTTATCATAAAAGCAAATTTGTCTCAGCTCAAGTACTTAAAAATTTGATTCTTATTATTTTCGATTCTAATGATATTTTATGCCAACATAATCATTAATAGTTGATTTAGGACTGCTTTCTTAATGATTATTAAAGCAACTTTTAAAATTTTTATATAAAAAAAGTTATCTTAAATGAACTTTTTGTTTTCTTTTATTAAATGAAATCTTAGATTTCAATTAGGATAGTTTTCTTTTTTAATATTTTTTTAATGTAATAATTTTTTTGATGGACTTATTAATCACTTAGAAATTAAAAAAAAAATTCCTAAATTTCATTTGACTTTTCTATTTTTTTATTTATGTAATCTTATTTCTTTCATCATTATCATTATTAAACAACACAAATTAACAAATATATAAGGCATTATATATAAAGCAAAAATATATGGAAATAAAATTCAAAATAAATGTTTGGAGGGACCACAGCGCACCATGGCCTATCAAAAAAGCAAACAAGTAAACTCTACTGTAATATTGGAACAGAACAATAAAACAACATATTAAGAAACAAAGAGCAGAGTGGTCTGCAATGAAGATTCCAGCTCTAACAATGGCACATTTCTGGTTTGTGTGATTAGGGTTCCAGCTTCAGAGAGACGACTCGAGACTGTCGGTTTCGCTTGGCCATTCTAACAAACACCGCAGAAAAGCACGACGGCGCCCACCATGGCTTTCGAACTTCTTGCTCGCCTTTCAGACAAGCAACTGTGTGTAAACACAAGAGGTTAAACATATTGCTCCCTTGTGAGTAAAAACACAAATGGTTAGGGGAAATCTATAAAATGCATCTGCATGAGAAAATTTAGTAGAAATCAATTGAGACATGTTAAAACTGATTTCCCAGACAACTTTACGGGCGGTCGGATACATATAGTTGATCAAGCTAACTTGGATTAATGAATGATCCAGTCAATCTACTGATGTCTTAGGGAAAGTTTGGTTGGCTAAAAAAGAAATGCAGTGTAAAAGAAATACTTTTGAATTTTTTTTATGAATGTAAAATAAATGCATGCGTATATTTTTTTTATTAGAAGCAATGAATATCCAAAGATGGTGGTAACCGGCACACGGCAACGGCTGCTGACGACGGTGATGGACAACGATCATCGATCAAGTGAGCTTCTTATAGTATAAATAGTTCTCACTAAAAACTATGCAAGTTGGGTTTACTTTAAAAATGAACTAAAATGATTTTTACTACATTTACTTTACTTTGTATTTCTTTTTCATCAAACCAAGCATCAATATTTTCAAAACCCTTGCATTTGAAATACTTAACGGGGTTGTTTGGTTGCCTGAAAAAGGAATGCAATATAAAAGGAATATTTGGAGTTGTTTGGATGGAATGCATGACTTTACTTTATTTTATTTTGTTTGAAGTAAAGTGAATGCAATATAAAGTATAAAATGGTTGTGTCCGGGTGGTTGGTCGGCAGCAGTGGCTGGCGATGGCAGGTAGTGGTGGACTGTGGCCGGCTATGTGGGAAGCCGGAGGCGGTAGTGGCTAGCTGCAGCTAGGAGCGATGGCAGTGACCGATAGAGGGGGGCGGCCGGCGGCGGCTGCAATGGTCGTCGGCAATGGTCAAACAAGCAAGTGATCGGTGTAAACCGTTCTCGACCAAAACGAGTGAGAATGCTTTACCTCAAAAAATGAACTAGGATGGAATACACTGCATTTACTTTATTTTGGATTTGCTTTTCATCCAATCCCCCGAAAGTTAAAAACCCATACATTAGGAATAAAATGCATTCACTTCTATTTCAACCAAATGGCCTCTACACCACATTGTATCTAACCAAACAACCCCTTTAAGTTAATCTGCAATGTGTTTGGCAGTCATGTTATTTCGATGGCATTACTATATCATGTTTACTCACTAGGTTTATCTGTTCAATACTTCAATGTGCTTTTAACATTCGGGCTTGGGATGGTACAAACTGATTTATCATTACTTAAGCTTACCACACTAATTAGAACCAACCAAAAAAACCTTTAAGCTGCTAAATAAATCTCTAAACCAGGACATTCAAAAGCCATCAACATATTTACAAACCACTTAATTATAGACTAATCAAATACATATAATAAATAACAATCAAATACATATAATGATATTGATTCCATAATAATTTAGAATTGAGTGCTTCTTAATAGAACAATTTGGCTAATTATTTGGTAATTATGCACTAATGCGTAAACTTTGGATATTAATGATTTGTTTAAACTTTAGTCTGATGATAACATTACTTGCTTCTTAAATAAAATTTGATTGCAAGCTAATTTGAATCTACCAACAAAGTAAACTACTTTTATAGGAGTCTTTCATTTGAGATTTAATTTGAAACCATTCATTAAAATTTTTTTTGTTCACCATATACTTAGCCTCTTCAGCAACGCATATCCCAAATTAGACAAACTGTAAAAGAGTCCAATTAATGACAATAGACCTTATCATATGTTTGCTACTTTTTCTTTTATTTTAATTTGATTTGCATTTAATTAATATGGTACCTAAATTGGATTTGAATTATATTTCTTTTGAAATACTTGAGTCCTAGTAATAAACTATCGCTACATAAGTAAAATTTGAATTCTCATACATTTAAATAACAACTTGCAACAAACTCCATGTAACATAAAATCACTTTAGCTATAATTTAACTCTTAAATATGTAGCCTCTATCTCATAAAGTATATAAAAAACATGTGTGTAGAACAAGATTCAGATATGCCAAATATGCTTTTGTCAACATGAAAATTCTAATGCTTGTGAGCAATCGATATTACCAGATTGCTCTTATTTATGCTTTGTTTGGGACGGCTTTCTTACTACTTCTTAAAACAGTTTTCTTGTACAAATTTTTTTATTTTTTTAACTAAAAAGTTGCTTTAAGAAGCAACCAAAAAGCCGCCCTAACGAAGCCTTAGTAGTTCATTCGTAATGGCAGTAACTAAAATTACAAATCACACAAAAGAAAGAAGAAAAGAGAGAACCTTTAATGCGCCTTAGTTCCTTGCAGAGTGTAATGAAGTCTCCCCACTTCATATGGCATCGCCTGATAAATCGCAGAATCTGTTCGGTTGTGAACATGGATAAGCCCTCCAAGTACTCACCATTTACGCCATTCTCCTCAAAAACTTGCCGATAACTACCCAGGTTAATCTCCTCAAGCCACAAACTAACATCCTGAAAAACATGTTAGGCAAAGAAAGTATGTTTAACAACAATACATATTCAGTAATGAGTAGCAGCTCTACACCTGCTTCCCAATTACATTCAAATTCTCCTTTGCACTTGAGCAGCATATTACAACATCTGAGTTGGTTAATCAAGCCTGAAATTTATTTTATCTTATGTATGCAAAGAGGGTCGTTTTTTTTTTTTTTTGAAGGGAAGGGATGGTTTACAACAATAATATTTTTTCTCTGAATAATTCTCTGACCTTCAAAAGTAATAGTTGAGGGGCCAGTTATTTACACATTTGGCAATTATTACATAAAAAAAATGCAAAAGAAACGTTCAAAACAGGTTCAGTGCGCCATCTACATAAGTATTGATGTTCTTAACTAGTGTGAAGCTTCTATATTAAAGCATACTAAATAAATTTAGTTCTTAATACTTTTCTCATTATGATTCCATATTTCACAAAAGTTCCTTTTTTATATTATTTATATAATGTGCAACATTTTACTATTACAAAGCCTAATATTTGCTCCATAAAATCAAACTACACATAAGGAAATAGAACTCATAAGCAAAGAAAAATGAGGAATACCAAGAAAAGCTAAAAGTTGGAAGTTGCTCCTTTGTGAGGAAATTAAGAATTCTACATCAACATCTATTTGCGAGATAAAATTAGCATACCAAAAAGGCAGGGCTGTTCATAAGATGCCAAAGCAGGTACAATTAGAGGAAAGTGCAGCATAGCATCAACCATAATCTTTGCTCAACTCAGCCTTCGGGCTATTCTTCTCCCCTAATCCTTCTCATTGGACAATGACATCACCAGTTGACATCCAAGGGTTCAATCTCTTTAAGCGATTCTTAGTGATCTTGTCTTTGCAATTTGCTGTTTAAGCTTTGGTTACCTCATAGGCCTCTGATTTCTCCTTTTCTCACTTTATGCTTTCTAAAACAAGTTTTCATGACTTCTAGGCCTTCTTTCAGCAGATAATAGATGAAGATGTGATAATGATTTTATGCGCAGTCTTCAGCCATTTTAAGCTTTTTATGGTTACAGTTGCGAGTAAGAACTCGTCATGTGAATGATTATCTTGTAATGTGTTCATTTAATAGATGCTCCACCCACATTCCAGTTCCCTCCACTTCAGTTCCCGCAGGTTTCGTGCCCCACATTGGATTTCTTGCAGCTGCTTTCAAATCTCCCCTAATAACCACAAAATATCCCTTCTCTTTTTTTTTTTACCCTACTAACAGAACTGATGAAAATGTGTATACTGACAATTTGATAAATTATTTAGAGCAACGGGCCATCTATCACTGATTTTATATGTTGTAGAATGCTTTGTTATTTAGCAGTGACGAGTCCACTGGACTGTTACAGAGCACTGGATTAGTGTTAGACCGGTCCACTGGACCGGTCGAGCCGGTCCATACAGGACTGGCTTACGGGCAACAGAGGCAGAAATCCTCTGCCTCCTGTACGTGCCGATCGAACCACCAGGACCAAAAGAGCTATTTAGGAAGGTTTTTTGAGGGAGTTAAGAGGGAAATTTGAATGTAGAGGCTATTTAGAGATTTCCTTTTGGATTGTATGCTTTTTTTTTTTTTTTGATTGTATGCAATAAATAGTTTGTTTTCCTAGGATTAGGGCATCTTCAATTTGGCTGAAATTTGAGATCTCTTAGTTTTTTTTGGGCTTTAGCAGCGTCTATATAGAGATTTGGGAGAGATAGATCCTCCTCTCGAATTGAGGATTAATTGTATCTTGTTATTTTCTTTCATTCCATTTGATTCTTGCAATAAAATTATTGTTTCCCTGGTTTTCATTGGAGTTTGGAGGAAAATTCTCGCTGTTTTCTAAAGATTGCTAGAAAATTCTTGAGATCTTCAAGTGTTTCCTATCAATTAATCTCTATATTTAAATGTTATTATGTCAGCCATGAGATCTGAAATTTTGGGTTTTATTATGCCTTAGATTTTTTTTTTTCTATTTTGACAATATATCTCAATATCGAACAACTTACCACCCAGTAAAAAAACACGTCCAATACATAACAGAAATAAGATGGATACAAAGATACACGAACCTGGTATGGGGCACATGCAATTCATCCCTAGTTGCATCATCTTCAACAGAAATTGATAAAACAGAGCCAAAAAACATGGAAATCAGAAAAGATCCCAATAAATGTTTATAGACAATAAGATGATATTTAAATTGCCAGAGCACCTGGCATTCATATTTCCTAGGGAAAATAAAGTGGGACTATAGTGCTCAAGTTTTAGAGAAACGGCCACAGTTCACTTAAACTTGAATAGCGCGGTAAGAGATTTGGGAGTGTAAACCAAATTGAAAAGAGCAGTTAGGATTCTTGCTCAGCCAAACCAAAGGAAAATCCTACCCTAAAGCTTCCATTGTACATCTGGCAACTTAATTTTAAATTTTTCAACCATAGAAAATGTCTGCTTTCTTATGCTAGTCAATGTTAAGATAAGAATTACATTCTTCCATACTCTTTCCATTTTAATTCATATCCACAGTATCTTTGTGCAGCATGAAATTTCAGTACTAGTCTGTTTTCTTTGCACCTTGATTTTCTTCAAATAGCTTCATGTCCATGAAGATTGCATCAATAAACTTCATGTTTAAAAAAAAAATTGAAATTAAATAGGCTCCTTTAAATTGTTTATCAAAAAGAAATATCTATTTCTTCAATTCCTGCCAGCAGAATTGGTCATTGGTAAACAAGCATACACAGCAAATTATTCTTCCTCCCAATTAATCTTAAATAGCATAATTCAAGTCAAGCATGCATAATCATTCTCCACTAAATAACCCTTAGTGTGGATGTATATATAAAACCTACTAGGTCCAAGATGGATTTAAACAGTAACACCTAATGCTACACAAACAGTTGAGCGAGCCTGAACATTCTTTTCTAAAACCAGCCTAATGGGCAGCAAAGTTCCCCAACCACAATTCACCCCCACGCCCCCACCCGCCTGGCACCTGGTTGCACTCCAAAGGAGGGCCAATGTGAATATTAACTCTTCAGCAATTCTTCATTATCTCATATAATAATCATCAGTTCTGAAAATAGAAGCTCACCTACTATCAACTTGGAAACAGAAGGAAAACACAATCTACAGAAGGAAAACTTCACTTTGTCAAATATCTAATTTTTTTCCTTCTCCTTTTTCAATTTTTATAATCAAGATTATTCATCTAAGTGATCCATCATAGTTTTGAAATGAATGGCAACATAAAACCAAAGTTATCTCTAGAAAGGATATCTTTCATCTTTCTAGAGATAAGGAGGCGTAACAAGTTAACCAATGTTGTAGCTTGATGATAACCACCATTTCAGCTCAACAAACAGTTCTGTATAAGGCATTAAGGTAATGGATTATTCTTAACCCGCATTTAAGCACTTCATGTCATTTTCTTATCAATAGTTCTTTGTCAACTCTTAAAATCAATCATTCAAAATTTCTATATCAGATCAGAATTAATCAAACTCCAGGTTTCTTAGAGTTAAAAGATAAATAAATAATTAATTAACTAATTGCTGCTTACAGTTGAATGGAACTTAAAATGCTTTTAGAAGATATGAAGCAAGGTGTTCCCATGTTATGGCTTGATTCTAACCAACCTATGAGCTTGACAAAGAGGATATCTGCCGTATGCGATGGGAAGATTCTGTTCCAAATATATAACTTGAAATGTAACCAAGAAGAAAAAAGCTCATGCTAAAGGACCAAAAAGAAAAATTACATTAGTTTTCATAAAACTCAAAAGAACACAATCTACAAGAAGAACAAAGACAAAGAACTTGTTATCATCCATGTGGTTCTTCAGATTGCTTCTTCATCCAGTTGACAAAAAGTTTCATACCACCTCAGTGTAGAAAGAAACATGCTAATTGCCTCTTTTCCCCCTTAAAAAATCGTCATCACATGTAAAAGATAGAAGCTTTGACCCAGTAAAAGATCCATATCAACGGATAGATCTTTAAACTGAATTTTGAGGCGAGATCTATTCGAAAAAAATTGTCCTTAGCGAGCACCACTAAAGTGAAAACTAATCCATCTACAATTGCCCACCTATGATAGAAATTTCCAATAAAAGTAAAAATAATCGCCACCAGACATCCCTTTTAAGTTTAATAATTGCATGAATTCGCAATTATTGGGGGAAAATTCCCCAACTCTTTTCTTTCCCAACCCTGCAAAAAATCGTCAGAGCACACAAAGATCTAGCAATCGTCCGAAGGAAGAAGGCGATGAATTAGCATGTATATCAAACGAAGGAAGAACGATACCTCAACAGTCCATATGAAGAAATCCAAGGGCTCCGGTGGCAGACTCTTGTTCACAGCCGCCGCCGCCGCCTTGATCTTCCTTGAGCGAGAAAACTACAACTCCCAGCAAGAACATTATCTAAATCCGCATCAGCAATTCCAAAAACGAGCAGGAATAAAATCATAAACAAAGGGCATCTTGCAGGCAACTCACCATCGACGGCAATAGAGACGGCACAGTCCTCAGAGAAATGGCCCCAAATCGAAGGCTTGCATAAACCGGAGAGGCTCCGGCGACGAATGCTAGCCGGATTTGTCAGATAATCGCTAGAGACGATTCCGCCGACATCATCAATTTGCCAGAGAAGAGTGGGGAAGAGAGCGAGAGATGAAGAAGTGTACTTCTAGCTTCTCTTTTGCAGAAACGGCCAATTCTCTTTGGAATTTTTTTGGGTGGTCCGGGTCTTCCTGGTTCTAGTGAAGAACTAAACGCTGGTCAAATCTTAATGGCTTATAGTTAAAATGAGAATGGTCAAATACTCAACATGACAAATTTAGTAAGTCTAAAATCATGTATATCATTTATAGTTTATTTTCATATTAAATATTCGTGATAGAAATAAAATATATGGGTGGTAAAAATAAAATATGAGTGGCATATTTGATATTAACATAATATATGATGATATATGTGTAATATTAAAATTTTGTATGTTAGATATACAAATAAGAATGTATAAAATGATATATATATGTAAATCTCCATAAATTTTAAGATAAATAAGATATTTAAATAATTAATAAATGGTATATGATAAAAAATTTTAAAGGTCATTGAGGTCATTAATGGAGTGATATAAAATTTTGAGGAAATTTATCAAAATCTCATTTAAAAAAATTATAAATAGATCATCATTCTTTGTATGAAATAAATTTGGGGTTTGAATTTTGGGAGAGAGTGAAGATTTGATGAACTCTAATACTTTACCTGACATTCAATGTTTACAATCACTGCTTGCTATTGTCATCGTCTAACAATCATAATTCGATGTGTATCGCCTGAATGACATTGTCTGATCAGCCTGCTTGTTATATTTTCATCCTCCATCATCAAATCATCATCATTTTGACCATCATTATCTGACTGACGACTAACTATTAATGCCCAAACTAACATTATTGAAGGTCATCAATGCTTCTCCGCTAATTCTCCTGCATTCTATACTATAGTAATATGATATCAATCTTGAGTTCATTATTTTGTAATCATATCTTCTCCGAGTGAGAGGAATAGCTTACCTTTATAATTTTATTTACATAGTAGATAATTTCAACTGGATGAGATCTCGTGATTTTTTTTCTTTTTTAATTTGTTATCATGATTTTTTAATTTTTTTAAAATAATAAATAATAACTCTAGTGTTTCTTGTTATTTTCTCTTTTATCTATTTGTTTAGAGGATCTTCGTACATAATTAAGAGAGGTAAACTCTCACTTAATGCCACAAATTTCATAGAATACAACAATTATAATTAAATACTTTCAAACAATAATTCAATCCAAAGAATGAAAGTGATGATGAGTAGTGGAGGGAGTTGAAATTTAGGGGTGTCAATTCGGGTCGGCGGGTCGGGTTCGGGTCGACTATATGAGGAGAAAGACAAACTTATAATTAATATTATAAATGTATATGACTATATGAGGACAATCAATATAAAATTATATTTAATATTACAATAAATTATTTGTTAAATTTCAAAATAAAAAAAATAAGAAAAAAAAATGATACAAATAAGTAAGATAACTAAATAAAGAAATGAAGATCAATTCAATGACTTTTAATGAGATTAACATAAATTTCAAAGTTACATTCAATTTATTAATTTATTTATTTTAATTAAGCTTGGGCCATTATCAAACTTTTAACATTTTATATAAAATAAAATGCATAATTTAATTGTAATAAAATAATATTTTAATTATTTTGAAATTTTGTGATTTTCATGGTAATAAAAATAAAAAGTAATAGTAAATACAATTATTTAAAGATTATTAATCATATTCATTTAAGTTTAGCAAAAACAAAATATAAATGAGAAACAATATGAGCTAATAACATATTCAAATGGGTAATTTATTAAATATTTATTGAGGTATTTATAAATAATAAATATATATTTCATAAACATAAAGAAAAAGGATAATATTTATAAGGCAGGAAGAACACCAAAATAACAGAAATTAACAATAAGAACTTGTCTTCTGTTCTTTCCTGGATGGGCTAAGGATGATTCAAATTCTTCCTGAAACCACTGACCTAAGAAGATAATGGGATGTTTAAATCTGATGATGAAAATTTTGATAAGCCACCGAAAATCAATTCGATCGGTACAAATCTCGATGCACATTTGAATTAGAAACTTTCGAAATTAAATTTGGGAACATCTAAATTCCGATTTCAGTAAACTTATCATCGAACTAAGAACATATCGACAAGACGAATCCAACGACAGAAAACAAAGAAAAAAACAATCAATCTAAGCCCAATTGAGCACGAATCGAAGACCTGAATGAAGTGTAGTTGAAGACTTCAAAATATTAATTGGATAACCAAATAAACTCTAAATATGGCATATTTCTCATGCCGTGTTAGAAATCAAAATAGCATGTGTTGTGGGGGCTACTACTCTATTGCTCAAAATAGATTGGGCATTTTAAACCGTCGGGCAATTGCCCATGCTAATCACATCAATTAAGATGAAGGGTTTGTTTGGGGTAGTTTTATTGTTGCTTTGCTTTTGGACAACTACTATAATTTTAGTTTGCTATTGTTTTCTTTCTTTTTTATTATTATTTTTTTAAAAAAAAAAATTTGATGGTTTATGCAATCATTATAATAAAGTTGTTTTCTCACAAGCAACATCACAATCAATTTTATAAAATACTACAGTCATCTCAAATATAACCGAAGTCAAAATCTCACGCACTTTCGATCATTTTTGTTATCTTATTTGATTAAATGTTTGGATAATGAAATTGAAATTAAGTGCAAATTAGAGCATAGTTTAGCACTAATTGCATTTTCATTTGGAAATTAATCTCAACTACTCTAAATTTTTAGATTTTGTTTAAATTGCTTAATGTTGGATAATTAGCACTAAATTACTATAATTATTAATTAGACAACTTTCCTATGACAACTTAATCACATAAAGTATAATAGCATGACACCATAAACATAATATAAAAACCTAAGCTAACATTTTCATGATTGGGCTTTCTTGTGCTACATTAATGTTCCTAGCCCACCAAAAAGCTCTTATATCAAGGTGGTTGAGAATGGCCCAATATAACGGTGTAAGTCAAAAGCCAACTTATGGGCCAATTATGGTTTTGCTTGATAAATGGCTTTCGTGCTCAGCTCGATGAGCTAAGTAGTTAAGTTTGAGTTAGCTCCGACTCGATTCGTTAGCTCTCGAGTAGACTCGCATAAATAATATTAATGTAAAATATACTTTTAAGTCTATTAGCATTTAGGAGCTTCATTATAGAATTTTACAAATATTCAAAAAATTATATCACAGTTTCACATACAAAGTGATTATTGGTTACTTATCTTTTATTTTTTATTTTATTATTATAATTATTTGAATCATAATTATTTTCTCTCTTTCATAATAAATGAGTTAGCTTGAGAGCTGATTAGAACTCATAAAACTCATCTTAAGCTCGAATATATATAAATTTTAGTTTTAGTCTATTTTATTTTGATTTTTTTTTTGGCAAAACAAACTATTTTTTGTGACTTATCATTATCTTAATTATGGCTTAAAAATATAACATTTTAATATTTTCAAATGAAAAGTTGTTAAAATGAAGCTCAAATTTGTATAAAAGATTAATTAAAAGAGTTATTTATATATTTAAAATCATAAATCTGAATCAAATTTCATTAAGAAAAATCAAATTCAAATAAAATTGGACACATATCGAGGCTCAGGCCATCACATTCAGCAAATAAACAATGTGGGACCCACAATATCCGAAGGAAATCCGCTCTGGATTCTGTAGAGACTAGAGATAGATGCTACTCATAATCGTGGACCCACATGCGACACCTTTTAAGTCTGATGAGATTGGATCCTAACAAAGTATTCAAATAAATTTATCCTGAATTTTTATTAGGTCTGAAGTCCTGACGTAGCTCTACGTTCAGACGCTAGTAAAATATCGCCACGTGTTCTTACTTTTTACCGCGCTATCCGACGACCTGACCCGACCCGGACTAGACCCGGGATTGCTAAGTATTGGCTGATTTGTGCAGACCGGGATATTATTAGGTATTGCTCGATATTGTTCGACAACAACAAGAAATATTATTCTGTCAAGACCAATACTGAGCAATACCCCAGTTTTGCTAGGTAATGATCGGTATTGCTAGGTATTGCTCGGTATTGGTCTTGACAGAGCGATATTTTTCATTATTGTCAAGCAATACCTAGCAATACGCGAACATAGCAATACCGGGTTCCAGTCCGGGTCGGATCGTCGAGCCGCGCGGTAAAGAGTAAGAGCACGTGACGACATGTTATTGGCGTCCGAACGTAGTGCCACGTCAGGACACCAGACATAATAAAATTTTCTCTTTTAGAGAGATTATTAAGTGCGTAGTCTAGACACATAAAATTATTCAGTTATATGATTATGAATAGTAAAAGCTAAAAATATAATTACTATTTATTATTGTGAGGATAGATTATTCAGTTATTTGATTTACCACACATAATAATCTCTCTAATCTTTAATATATCTTATTGAGAAATATTTGTCTACCAAAAATAGGAGGTAGGGAGTCCATAAAAGATTTGGCACGTCGATTTGATCAAAAAAATTTAGGTTCAAATTGATCGTTTGAGAAATATGTCGAGTTCGATATGAAATTTCAATTTGTTTATCAAACAGGTCAGATTTGGATTAATCGTCACACCTTTTAACCATGAACTTGTTTAATTTTTCTTATTTAAAAATTTTTAATTGTTGGTATGTTCTTCTTATTTTTTATTAATTAATCCAAACTCTATAGATAATAAGTTATAAATTTTTTTTTTTTTTTTTGCGATGTATTTTGTGATAAAGATGAATTCACCTAATATAATAAAAAATTTACGTAAGGATATCCTGTCATAACTTTTGTCAAGATGGTATTAAATGTTCTTGAATTTGCATTATGATTAGTGAAATTCATGATATATATATATATATATATAT